AAAAGTGAGTTACTTGCCTTTGTCTGTTATGTGTTTGTATTTTCCCTTTTTAAAACATTTTTCATTTATTTAGTAAAGTTAAGAGTATAAAGAATTCCCCTAATCCTTCACCCAGATTCCCCAAATGTTAATATTTTACCACATTTGCTTTATCATTCTCCTCCTGTGTGTGTATTTGAACTGTCTGAAAGTAAGTTACAGATAGGATTCCTCTTTATCCCTAAATACTTTGATATGTATTTCCTAGAAACAAGGATATTTTATTATATAACCACAGTACAATGATCTGAATCAGGAATTCACATTGATGCAAACAAAAACCAGAATAAGGTACCATTCATCTCTTGTCTTACAGAACTACTCATGTGAGAGGGAAGTCTTATCATTTGTGTACACTTTTTGGAAGGGACAAAGTGGTCTGTGGGAAAGGAAATGAAAGGAAGCTGTAATGATATAGAAGGCATACAGTCCTTCTCTGCAAGCCTGGGCTACTTCTGTTTCCTTGGTCCTTCATTGATGTATAGTTTTGGAATTGCCACATCTCAAATAACAAAAATTATAGAAAACAAAACATTGTAGAACACTGAGAAAAATCTTTTCAGAAAGTCATGTTCTGTATCATGGTAGAATTGTTATGGTAGTTCACAACAAAATGTATTAGAGGCTTAGATCTTTCACCTCTATTGGAGAGGTCCTGAGGACAGAGGATGGAGGTAATGGGAAATCTATAATTTTCATGACAAAATAATCATGCCTTTGTGTAATCACGAGAATGCATTTTAGATATAAACATAGTGCATTTTGTATAACTGTATGATTTCAATTAGGTTTAAATGAACATTGGTTTTCTCACTTCTGTTTAGGAAGTTTATCGGAATTCTATGCCAGCTTCCAGTTTCCAGCAGCAGAAACTTCGAGTTTGTGAAGTCTGCTCCGCCTATTTAGGTCTTCATGATAATGATAGACGACTGGCTGATCATTTTGGGGGTAAACTGCACCTGGGATTTATTGAAATAAGAGAGAAGCTTGAAGAATTAAAGGTACATTGGTAAATTAATATCCCTCACTTTATCAAATTTAGTCACTCATTCTGTTGATCTGTATTAGTTGTCTTTTATGTAGTATTTGTGACTATGATTCTGTTAAACATTCATACTGGGCAGTGTAGGATCATAAATGGAGATAGCAGCTGGTTTAATGAATGATGTGTAAGAAACAGATTTTTAAATACTGTGCCCTTATTCTGGGAGGTAATATTTTGTGTTGGATATGATGTTGATTTAGGAATCTTGCAAACTGGGTTCTAAACTAATTCTTGCATACAGTACATTGTTATTTTCTTTTCAAAAAAATAAATAGTAATATACCACTATTTAAAGGGAGATTGAAAAAAATGAGCCCAATATGTATTTGAAATATTTTGCAGTTCTTCACCAAATATCAGCAAGCATGCAGGACTTACAGGTTTTGTTTTTTTTTTTAATGCTCCTGCCCCATCTCAGAAATAACTTAGAATGAAACCTATTTTTTTTAAAAAGGACAATCACTGTGACTTAAATACATAGGATTTTGTGAGAAAGGCAACACAGTTCTTATATGCTGAGTTCTTTTGAGAAAATAAGCGAACAAAAATGGGGAGAGTATTTTCTGAAGAGGTACACATAAGCAGAGTCAATGGATATAATCAGTTTACTTTTCAACAATCTGTTGTGCCTAGTTTTTTAAATACTGTGGCAGTAAGGTTTATATTATATGCAAGAATGTTTACGGTTTATTACCACATTTTAAATAAATTTAGGAATAATGTCAATGTCCAAAATTAGGGGATTTAATAGTAAGTTATGATATAGTCAAGGGAGGGACTGCTAAGCAGCTATAGAGCTGGAGACAGAACTTCCCAGTTAATGGAAGTAGCCTGAGCATGGCTCTAGCTACTGTGACTGTGTGCTGCACGTGAATGCAAAGAATGAGACTCGAATGAAATCTTGAATACCAAAATAATTCAAGAGTGGTCACTCCTTAGCAGTAACCCCAAAAAACCCCGAAGAGCCTGGCCAGACTCAACAAAAAAGTTTCTATTAAAAAAAGAGTAGTTGCACTACAGCATATTGTTTGGGGCTCTAAAAAATGGTGCCTACTTGGAATGTTTGCAGGTACAGACCTAGCAAGAGAACTATATAATGTTTTACTGGTATTTTTTAAAGTAGCATCAGGGTGTTAATTGGAAGGTAATGAAGACATTTCTGTATTGGAAATCATCGAGCATGGGATCTTAGAATGATTTATAATGGTTGATGTTCTTTAAAAAATGCAAAATAATGCTAGGAAACAATTGGAGGAGGAAAATCTTATAGATGTGATTTTGAAATATCATTAAGAAGTCATGGAGGAACATGAAATTTTACAAGTGTTCCCAAAAGTGGTTCCAAGGATTTTGGAAACCAGACTTGAGCCTAATGATTATTATACCTGGCAAACTTCAAATTGAATTGTTATTAAACAGGTTTTTATGTCATTTGAACTATATTAGAAACCAGATATGGTAAAGTTTAAGATTAATGCTCAATAAGAATGGAACCAATACAATTTAAACTTTTTTTTTTTTTTTTAAGAGAGTTGTAGCTGAGAAGCAGGAGAAAAGAAACCAGGAACGTCTGAAACGAAGAGAGGAAAGGGAGAGAGAAGAAAGGGAGAAGCTGAGGAGGTATGGAGTAATTAGTTGAATAGTCCAAGTATCCGAAGTTGAATATTCCCAATTTTAAGAAGAGATGTGATTAATAAAAAAATTTTTAGATGTTAAAGAATCTGGACATGGGAATTTCTGTGTACTCTTTAAAATACTACCATGTGAAACAGTGTTTGTACAGGTATATTAACTTACAGCCATTTATGTCAAAGTGATTTCCACCAAAGTATATGGAAAAGTGAATAAATATGTGCTTCATACCTTTCTGTTTTGTATTATACAAAGCCCTTTTCTAGCCCTCTGATTTTTTTCATAACAGGCTACATTTATACCAGGCTGGCATAGAACTATTTTTATTTTTATGATATATTGTATCTTTGCTGATACAAGGTTTGGTGGTGTTTTTTTTTCTTTTGTATTACTTTACATTATACTTTGATATTTCTTCAATTATAGATGCTATTAAAAATCCTAATTTGATAATACCTAAATACACACAATTCTTTTATATTGATACTCACTAGTTGATAAAGTAATGTTATTCTTCATATTTAGAATATTTAAATGTAAGAAAGCTACATGTAGACATCTTCCCTTTTTAGGGCAAGTGCTGTCATTCCTCCACTGAGATAGATGTATTGTTCATTTACCATGAATTTTAAGTCAGAGCTTTATTTCTGTTCTCTTTTGTGTACACTTGAGGTTTCTGTAGGAATATTGCCCAGTATTATAATATTTAAGACAATATAAATGGCATTATAAACCTCAGTTTAAGTTAAAATTCTGCATTTAGTGCCACTAATATAAATGATTCAACTGAGGTGACAGTAAAATGAGGAAAAGTATTATTTGAAGGACTATGTTTTCACATTGGTAGAAGATGAGAACGTATATTGCATCTTACTCCTTTTTATTGCCAAGTGGCACATTTCTTTTAACATTGATTATAAAATGCAGTATTTCAGAAATGTTTTAAAGTTTTTCATTTTTTTTATCTGTGAACTTGAGAAAATATTGTAGCTAAGTATGGAAGTGAGGAAGTTACAAGTGTACAATTAAACAAGCTGGGATTCCAAGAATTCCAACTATAGTTTAAAAGGGTAATGATACAAATTACTATTATTTATTTCTGTTGTGTGCCAGGCACCATGCTACAATTCTACCTGTGTTAATTCATCTAATCCTTACAATCCCCTGGGAAATCTATATCACTTTTCCTGTTTTCCGAATGATCAACTAAGCTGAGGGAAGATAGATAACCTGCCCAGGTCACACATGTGGTGAGTGGTGGAACCAGAGTGAAAACTTCCATCAGGCTGAGTCCAAAGCCATGTCTCAACCATATTGTGTATTCTTTTTAAAAAAATTGAAACTGTGGCTTCCTAGTAACCATAATATTAGCTATTACTATTGAATGAGCATATTTATGCCAGGAAATGTGAAGAGTGCTTTATGTAAGAGTGTCATGTATCATGTTAAGTCACAGGTATTGTTAAGATTGAATTTGGTGTTCTGGGGTTTATAGAATGAGGTTGTAATTCCAAAGTGTATGCATCTCAGACCATAGAAATTCATAGAGGGAAAGGAGAAATGACAGAAGTACAAATAACAAAGAATTATTTCTAGTTTGGGAAGTGGTTTCTGCAGAATTGGTTTAAGTTATATTAATATGAAAGTACATTAATATAAAATGCCTTACATTTATAAAATTAGTATAAAAATCAGGCATCAGGAAGAATATTTTTAAAAAGTGCACCACTGCACTTTTTGTCATTTATAGTTACTTTTCTAAAAATAGATATTCTTTTTTTTTTTTAGGTCTCGGTCACATAGCAAGAATCCCAAAAGGTAGGTGTCTATATAAGATGTAAGTAGTGAAGTTGCATTTTTTAAAGGTAAACCATGTTGTGTATTCTTTTTAAAAAAAATTTAAACTGTGGCTTCCTAGTAACCATAATATTAGCTATTACTATTTAATGAGCATATGTATTGTGTATTCTTTTTAAAAAAAATTTAAACTGTGGCTTCCTAGTAACCATAATATTAGCTATTACTATTTAATGAGCATATGTATTTATGAACTAAATATCTTTTAAAATTGAATGAAAATTAAGATTAGTACTCTTAATTCTTTCATAGTTCAAGTTTGATTGAAGAAATTGGTCAGATGATAGTTACAAACTACAATTTAGTTTTATCGGACTAAGATTATATATAGTACCCTGAAGTTATGTGGAAAGCTAAAAATATTTCAGAATTATTTCTTTAAGATGTTTTTAAAAATCTTGATGAATACGTGACAGGCAGGATTTAGATTTTTTAAATCAGTTTGGGTGGTACATCTAAGAAACACATTTTGAGGGAGTTGTTCCTGTTGGAGATGTAAGTAGGTTAAATAGTTGGATACATTTTTAATGAAGGATCCATGATGGGTTATTAAGAGAAACTAAAACTTAGCTTACCTTCTGATTTTGACTTGGATTATCATCCATTTGTACAGTGATCATAAATAGCTTCGAAGGAGCTCTTACAGTCTTTAAAAGGAAAGGGAAAGAAACTTAAAACAGTTTCTTTTGACTTTGAGCATTAATATTTGGGGCTTTCTGAAGATATTCTTTACAGTTTTCATTAGTTACTGGTAATTTTTTTCTACCTGAGAAAGGTGGAGAAACATGGTGTACCTCTTCATTCTTCTTCACGTACTGTTCTCATTCCTATTCATGTCCGTTCTCATGAATCCATTCCTACCCAGAATGCTCTTTCTTTCTTTTTCAAATCCTACCGTTCCTCTTGTTCAGATCACATCTTCTGAGTATTCCTCATTCTAAAGAGTAACTATTTCCTAAGAACTTTTCCCTCTAAACTAGAGCAGTTGTTATGAAGGAAAAACCTGTGTTTCTGCTAGATGCCTCATAGTACTTCCTAGAATCTTTCAGTGGTATTTCTGCTTAAAACTCTTAAAAACTAAGACATTAATAAATGAGACCAGCTGTGTCAGCTAATTTATAATTGTGAGTTTCTCAAATACAGGCTGAGAAGTAGAAAAATTAAATTCTGATACTGTCCTTGTTTACTGGTTGATTAATGCCCACTGGTCTGTTTGTTGAACAGATATTTAAATTATTAGACATAGAGCATCTTTAGATATTTAGACCAGAAATTTAATTTCTGCCACTCTGGTCCAAGCTACTTCCTTCTTACTTCACTATTGTGATAGTCTCTTAACTGGTCCCTTAATTTCTATACTTGCCCACACCCCTTCTCCACTTCAGTCTGTTTTTCACATATCAGCCAGAATGAGCCCTTTATTTTTTTATTTTTTATTTTTTTGGTATCATTAATACACAGTTACATGAGCAACATTATGGTAACTAACTCCCCCCATTGAATGAACCCTTTAAAGAGTAAAATCATGCCAGCCCTCTGTTCAAACCTCCTAGACTTACTCCATTTCACTCATAGGAGAAGTCGAAGTCCTCACCAGACCTTTTAAGTAGAGTGACCAATCTGCTCTGGGCTAGCTAGCGGTTTATGTCTTGTCTCTCAGCATATTTGTTAATCATTCGAACCCTTTCCCGCTGTATGATTTATCGTTGAGAGCATCCTGGTTTGAATGATAAAGTGCTTGGTCATCCTGCCTGTGAGACCCCAGATATGCTCCCCCTTGCTCACTTCTTACCTGCCACACAGTTCTCTTCTATTTCTTCGACATGCTGAACTTTCTCCCACCTCAGGGCTTTTACCTGTTCTGTCTATCTGAGCACTTTTCTTTGAGGTGGCTGATTAGCTGATTACCTTTACTTCATTTTATCTTTGCTTACATATTATCCTTTCAGAAAAGCCTTCCCTGCCTATTCTTTATAAAAGATTACCACCTCACTTCTCTCTCCATCTTTACTCTTCTTAATATATAATTTCTTTACTACCTGACCTCCTTTTATTTTACTACCTACATATCCATGTAGACTATTCAGGAGTATAAAATTCATGTGGGTAAGGACTTCACTTTATTTGCTGCTCAATTTCCCCATCCCAGTCCAGTCTAGAACATTTCCATCACTATCTTAAAAGTGACCCTTCACAAGTTACATACCCCATTGTATCCCCCCGAATTTTTTTGTATTTGCATATGTCATCCATACCCTTCTGACATACACAAGTTAGTTTTATGACCTGTGGCGGCTGCAGAAGTGTTTTTCCTTCTAGTTTCCTCAAAATGTTTTTCCTTCTTTGTGCCACTGTGTACTCAATGTAAATACATTTTTTTTCCAACTTAAAGTTCTTTAAAATGATTTATGCAGTTTAGTTTTTTTAGCCCAAATAAATTATGTACTAGTTGAATAGAGAACTGTCCTGCTGTGCTTTGGTTACACTGTGTGATTAGGCATACTGTGGGCATTCAGCCTTGTTTCTATAGCCATATATACCCTTTCTACCTCAGAGAGTTAGTAACTTATCCATAAGCAGTATTTCTCATGCCTCTCCTCCCTTCCTTCCATGCTCATTGGATACATACCTTATTTCTAAAGTATACTAAAAGTCTTAGAAATTTAGATGAAGTTAGATCCATAAAGCATCTAGATAATACAAACCCTAGCATGTAGTAGTGGTACAGATTTTAAATATTTTAAAAATATTCCTGATAAAATTTATACACTACTGATCAACCTCTGAGAACTAGGTGTTTAATTTTTATTATGAAATGCTAATATTTAACATACCAGCACATGTATTTTACAGATTTAGCTGACTTCAAATAAAATAGGCATTACTGAGGGATAGCTCTCTTTAAAGAAGAGACTTTAAGAAATAAGCTTAAAAGCTCACAAAGCTTAAAAACTAAATCAAATGTTTTGGTAGATCCAGGTCTAGAGAGCATCGCAGACATCGGTCTCGCTCCATGTCACGGGAACGGAAGAGGAGAACTCGATCCAAATCTCGGGAGAAACGCCATCGCCACAGATCCCGCTCTAGCAGCCGAAGCCGAAGCCGCAGCCACCAGAGAAGTGGGCACAGTTCTAGAGACAGGAGCAGAGAGCGATCCAGGAGGAGGTACTGAGGTGTCCATAAAAGGATATGGACTACCTTATGGTTTAGATTTGGAATGCTGTTGGTTTGAAACTTGGATCTGGTAATACGTACACATTTGTGTATGGGTGTACATATTTTCCCCTGATTTATATGGGTAGTTCAGAGAGAATGTACTTAAGAGCCAGAGTAAGAAATTGGAACCAGTATGTGCAGAGGTTATTGCTTTTCTCTGCTTAGGGTGTCTTGGCAAAAAAAGTACTTTATGGGCAAGTAACTTTAGGTACCAGTACTCTCAGAGTTTTTTCTATATTTTTTTGGTGAATTAGGGACTCTGAGGAGTACTTTCATTTAAAGAATTGTTCAGTTTTGACTAATTTTTTTTCCCAAACTTCTTTGAGCTGGTGCACTTTCTCAGAGCAGACACATTCTAGTATATTCTTGCTTATCTGCAGTATAGATATGCATTGTTTTATAAAGTTAGCTTAGCAGGGCAGATTCAGAATCTTAAGGAAGTTAGACTTCTTTAGCATGAAAATTCAAAAGATGCAGGGAGGGCAGACCCATGGGAGGTATGTTTAAGGACCTGAATGTATATCTGGGATCAGACAGAATGTGGTGGAGCCTTAACACTGAGTCTGTATAGCTCAAGCCCCCAAAACTTCTCAGGTCATATGTTGGCCCTTAAAGCCAGGTCATTTCTGTGGAACATAAACCATGCTTAAAATTGCTTTTTTCTTGACAACTGTTCTTAAGCATAAATGTGATAAACTTTGAGTGCCTAGCACCCACTAGTCTTAAATTTCCTATGGATTACTCTACACAAAGCCCATGATAGAATTCACAGAAAGCTTTATTAAAAATTTTTCTTTCTTTCTTTTTCTTTTTTTGACCCTCAACTAGCCATTCCCTGAAACTCACCAGCTAAGTTGGTTAATAGGCTCTCAATCAATATTTTATTTATTTCTTAAATTACTGCCTGGTTCCAAGTAGGTTCTTCTTTTTTTTTTAAGTTCTTCCCCCCCTACCTTTATTGAGGTATAATAAAATTGTAAGATATTTAAAGTGTACATCGTGGTGATTTGATGTACACTGTGAAAGGTTCCACCATTAATTTACATACCCAACCTCACATATTTCTCTCTCTTTTTTTTGATGAAAATATGTAAGTTCTACTTTTGTAGCAAACCAACTAGTTCTTGAGCAAAATCAGTAAGAATTGTATACTTCCTACTGTACTAGGTCTGGTAAAAAAAAAAAAAAAGCATAGTTGAGCAATTTTATTCAAGTGAGTTAGTGCACAAGACTAACCTTGACAACAATCAGATAACTTTAAAGTGCTAAACTACATATCGTAGGGTAAATAATACAGGAGTTTAGATGAAGGAAATAGCAGAATAATAATAAAATGGCTTCAGGTAGTAGATAAAATTCGAATAAAGTGGGTATAATTTGAATAGATATAACCAGTAGGAAAAAGATATTCCAGACAGAGTGACTATCATATGCAGAGAATGAGCAGGTAATTTTTAAGAGACAGGGTTCCTCATATAGTGTGTTTTGTAAGCTGGTTATCTCATGCTCTTAAAACTGGGGGCATACAGTGCAGTACCCAGAAAACTGTGTTACAAAAAACTGCTCAGTGAATCTTACTTGCACTGTAAATTTTGGAAGTTATCCTACTCGGTGGAAGGTGTAGCCAATTTCTCTTGTCATTGCCCTCCTGTCATTGTTTTTGGTGTCTATGAACTCTTAAATGTCTGTATTGGTGGGGATGAAAGGAATGGATATGAAGTCTCCTCACCTAAGATTGTGTCCCAGATGCTTCCTGCATTTATGAAGTTGTATAGGAAATGTTTCCACCGTACTTCATGACACTTCTAATCTAATATTCAGCATGTTCATAAAGAGGATTATTTTTGTAAAACTTAAAAATTTTGCTTTTCTTGAGATCACTTCTAACTTTGATACTCAGATTATTCTCTTTCAAAGCAACGTGGTTTCACCAAAAATCAGACAATTGCTATTAAAAACTACGTGTTATTATGTATAAAATAGCATCAAGTTATTGCTACAAATTTGAGGTTGATTTTCAAAGTAAAAGTCTTAGGATTCATTGTTCTCCTGCCCCAACTGTGAAAGTACTGGTCTTTGATATAAGTAGTCTGTCTGTGACCTTTCCCTGGTAACAGTCACCTTTGGTAAATGAGGACCATTTGCATTTTTGTACCTCCTGCTCTGTTCAAGGACACACACTTCAGACTTCATTTCAGAGTCAAGACTACTTGGGTTCGGTGGCCTTGGCCAAGTAATCTATCCCGACTGTCTTTCCCCATCTGCTGAGTAGAGATAGTAAGACTACTGCTTCATTAGGATTATTGATGCTTTGAGTGAAATAGTGAATGGAAACTGCTTATGTATGGGAACTGTGATCTCTGATAAAATATTGGGTGATGCTCACCTCATATTTGATTTTCAGTTATTATTACTGACCTCTGGGATTTACCAGCAACTCATGTCCGTGTCTTTAGGCATCATCTCTGTTATCTCTCTTCATATTCCATTCTTAAA